TCATCATTATTATTATTATTTTCTATTATTACAAAAACACACTGTCACAACCGTACACGGGGCTTGTAATTAAAAAAATGGGTACAAATGGTCGAACAGTGGGAACTAAGCTTTCTATATTCATTCTCTACAAATAATATTTTACAAATGAAAGAGTCACTAAAAAAATTAAATTAAAGTAGTCTAATTAAATTAATCTCATAACAAGTTTTCCCCGTCTTCTATAAATATTTAATCTTCTATCATTCATCTTTTAATCAACTAAATTAACCTAAAGTTAGTTTAAAATAACACTAAGCTAAATAAAGCCAGTGAATACTCATACTCCTAAGCTACAATAATACAAGAAAAAACAAATTAACATGCATGTCAGTTAAGCTTTTAATAAATCAAAACTTTTGATATCTTAACATATCTATATCATATATATCTTTACAATCGTCACAAAAACATAGTCTAAAAATTTGTATCAATTAATATACCTCAATATTAATATCCTTTTTCATTTACGTGCAAATGTATCTTAGCATTCTCACACTCTTACCATAAATTGATAACTCTATCATAATCAATCACACATATACAAGTAGTCAATATAAACATATCATTCATGTGCTCATCACATTCAATTTAATACACTATATATAACATATACCAATGCATAATTGTAAGTATCTACAAACAATCATATCAATGTGGCCACAAAAAAAATATATATAAATCAAAATAAAGCTTGTACAAGTATCATTATCTGCTAATGCAAAATAGTAGAGAAGACACAAAATAATATCATAGATTAAAATTACGAGGGTTTACTTCGATGTCGATCAATTAATTATTTGGTTTGTCTTGACATTGACTCATTTAAAATTGGAAGCCTAAAATAAATATGATATAAAATTTATTTAATTTATTATTTTCATAAACTATAAACTTTTATTATTTAAGTTTTAAATTTTTATCATTTTATTTTATGTAATCCTAATTGTTTATATATATATATATAGACACACACACACACACGCGCGCGCGCGTGCGCGCGTGTACGGGAAGAAGAAACGTCGCCGACAAGACTGGTGTGACTGGAACCACACAATACTCGAGGTAGAACAGTCATTACCAAAAATAGAAAACCACATTTCAATCATTCTTTATTTATTTAATTACAAAGAGGGGTGCATCACGCAAAACTCTCACATACAACTAGGAAAGCAAAAACCTAACTAAATGAATTTTTGTAACTTCATCTGAGACAAACCCTCGGTGAAGCAGTCATTCGTACAGCTTGAAATGGTCATTCTAATAATCCCTCAGTTGAGCAGCAAGGCCCTCCCTAACGACTGACAGCTCTAGGCACAGGTGTGCCATCTCCCCATGATTAACAAACATCTCCCCCCAAAAAACAACAAGCTCCTCATGAAGCGCATCTTCTTTTCCCACATGGTTAATTCTCTCCAAAACATCTGTAACTCCATGACTATCCTCAAGGATATCCCATGAAAGGAAGGGAGCACTCCTCCATTTCAGCTAGACTGTGCAGCATAAATTCAATAGACACTTGGTGCCCCCCGGGTACCTTTTCCTTGCTCATCACATCAAAAGAGACTTGGTAACCCATACTCTTTCCGGGTGAATTCTTCTCCATTATCTAAGTCGTAGTGCCCGATTCCATGGTACCCTGCTCCGTGGCTTCCTATTCCATAAGAACCTGTTCTGTAGTGTCTGCTTTGGCCGCAATGATTTGATCAACAACAACCCTGTATTCCTATGGATCGGTGTCAGTATCTTACGAGATAGAATCGATCTTCTGGACTCCAGTAACTATAAAATAAATGCGAAAGGCGTGATTCAAGATACATACCTAAAAACCATTTCTAGTCAGATGTGGTGTAAGAAATAAGACCCCCACCAGTCTCCTCTAGCTTTCAGCCCATAGAGAAAAAGCCTTCCTTTTGTGGTTAAAGTAGTGTCTCGGCTTCTGTTGTCTCCTCCTCGAGATCTTGAAGAGTCGTGGCTTCCACAACAGTCTGAACGGACATTCCTCCCCTCGAGTAGGAACAACCACCTCTGACGAGTGCCTTAAAAGACAATCGTCAGGACGCCCTCCATATTCCTTCATAGCCTTCTCCTAGAATGAGCCTGCGAGGAAACCCGAAGATTCAATTCGATCCTCACGCTCCTAGTTTCGAGGCTTTTGCACAACTCTCTTCTTGCTCAACTCCCCCATAGATATTTCGCTCATCCGCTTCCGCTTTGTGTATGGTTTATGATCCTTAGCCTGCATGTCACTCATAGCCTTAAGAAGGGCATCCTTGTTGGCAGACGATGACTCTCCACCGGACATAGTAGCAGACACAAAAGGGAGAAGACAGATGTTTCTAGAGAGCTAGAAGGAAAAGAAAATGCACAAATTTTCTTTATCTCATGGCTTATTTATAGCAGTCTGAGCACGGAAATCCAGGAAAGTTCATTATTGCGCACTAATGTCATTTAATTATTTATTCTGTGTTAAAAGATTCTCTTGTCCTTGTGTGCTTTGCAGCTTCCAAACAGCAAGAGAATCGATAAACTACATATATATATATATATGAAAAATATTCTAGCACAAATCTCAAAGAAAATGAACGGCTCAAAAGGAAGAAACGACCGATCAGACATGCTTGTTGGCGGACGACGAATTGGATGCTAGAGAAGAAGAAATCTAGATCAAGCGACCGGAAGAATGAGCTAAAGAATTACCTACAAGACGATGATCAGCTCTCAAGTCGATCGGCAGAACAGCTTCATATCATCAGGGCAAGCGACCAACAAACTTCTTATTGACCGAATCAATCTATCATTCTTATTATATTTAAATAATTTTGTAATTACTAAAAGATCTCCCTAAAGGCTAATATAAGGGAACTGATATGTAATTTTGTAAGATTGTGGCATATCTTATAAATAAACGGTTCATATCATGAATTAAGGCTATGCATTCTTACTATATTTTCTCCTATCTCTCCCTACAAAATGTTCTATACATTGAATGTGTTTCCCGCACAGTCTCAAATTCAACATATTTCTTTATAGACACACACACACAGATATATATATATATATATATATATATATATATATAGAAGATTGGTAGATAGAGAACTTTTTTTGACGATCAATTATTTGTAATGGCATCTGCGGATATTTTTTGATAAAAATAATGAAAGATGCTTTTCACATAATTGTGACAGATATTCTTCTACTAATTGTTCCTATTGAATCACATAGATTGGTGCGAACCATGAATTAGTCATCTAATTGGTTTGTTCTTCTGTTCCTTAAGATGAGATCCGAACTTGCTTTCAAAACTGCCCGCTCTTTGTAGATTTTCCTCTCCCTATATATATATATATATATTAATGCGCCGACTACTTTCTTAATATTAAGGTAAAATTTTTTGGCTTTATTTAATACTAAAAAATAATTCAAAAAAAGGCAAACTTACTGCATACCACAATTGTTATGTATTTACATGTCAAACAAAAAATTTTATATATACGTTTATAAACCTTTGCATGAAGATATGTTTTCACATAAAATTATTGGTAGTAAAAATTTGAGCGTCATGCATATAAATATTAAAGTTTAGGTGTTAGATACGTAAATATTTAATAATTGCATGGTACCTATGTAAATGGCCCTTAACAAAAAAAGGTACTTACATTTTGCACCTCTCGAGAATGATAAATAAGATTTGTATGTATTTATCTATATTTTATTACTATGGTCTTTATAATAAATAATCAGCAAATCAACCGATGAACTGCAACAGAAATTAACATACTGTAGCGATTCCTGATTCTCTATTCAGGCACACACGCAACGTCTGACTGTAAGTTCAATGGCTTAGATCGTTTCACAAATTGTTTTTGCATTCAAGTAGTTAAACTTGAAGGCCTCAATGAGAAGAAAATTCTTACAAGATAAATATAACTTTGGATTTATTTTGAATAAAGCCTTTGTTAAATAAAAAGAAAGTATAAATAATTAAATTATCAATATTAGATTGTTTGAAAAGAATTAGCCTTTAAAGATGACATCTGTTTCAAGTAGGACTCCTAAAATTACAATGAAGTACTCAATCCCTATTATAAGGGGTAAATAATTCATAATCATACTGAATGAAATTTCTATTATTATAGCCTATGAACAGAAATCTCTTTATATCTAGAATCGTAATGATTCTCAACATTAGCGCTAAGTCTAGAACCATGTTAAATGATTTGAGAAGGCTAGTTATATTTTAATTTCTTGTAAACATTCATAACTTCTGTTTATATAACTGATTATTTTACTTCTTTTAAACTATCAAACTTAGACATTATTTGAAGTTGCTCGGCTCTAGCTAGCTACATTGATAAATATTGTTGCTCATATTAGTTAAAATTATCAGTATCATAATACATTCATCACTAAAATTTTGCTCATTAAATATTATAATTGTTGCTTCAAGTTAAAAAAAAAAAAAGTCGCTAACCGCTGCGAAAAATATTACGCCCGGACTCTAGATGCAGAGATACGTCCGAAATCAAATAAAATCACGCCACGTGGAGGTGATAGAAAAATAAAAAAAAATTTATTTTAGCACAAAGGAATATTCCTCCAGTGTTATTCTACGTAATTCAAGTGTTATTGTGAAAGTATTTATGTATTTTTATGTTCTGAGAATATTCTCGGTGTTATAATAACACAATAATACATCAATACCGCCACAATAACACCTGAATAAAGTGAAATAACACAGCTGGAATATTCCCGTGTTATCGGGCAGGATCATAAGAAAACAAGTTTTTTTTTTTTTTTTCCAATCAGCTTCACGTGGAGGTGATTCATTGAACTCTGGACGTATCTCTACGTTCGGAGTCCGAACGTAATAATCTTTCAAATTTTTTGGGGGCATTTTCTCGTGTTATTGTTTATTCAACGGTTTAATCTAGAGTACCTTCACAAAACACCACCGGTTGGATCATAGCCAAATATATTAGATAAACATAATTTACAAATTTACAACGATTGCCTACACTACTATACACATAAATGATATCAGACGTGCTGAAGTTAAGAACAGGGTAAGCCTAAACTATATGAAGAGAACAATTAATATTAATTCCATTCTCCTGGTGTGTAAATTGCAGGGTTCAGTTGGCAAGATAAATTTTCATGCTGCATTCCTTGGAAGATTGCATCTATTTGTTGTAGAAGACAAAGAATCACATACCGGCGTACAAAGGAGGTATTCACTTGACAACTCTAAGGAGTCTGTTGGCGTTGCCTCATTGAAACTGATTTGTAAGATAGAACCTGCAATGTAAAATGAGGGAGAAAATGAAAAACACAAAAAAAAAGAAGCATTTACATATATACCAAATAATTCTTATATATTTAAATATCTAACACCTAAACTCTTGTAATGGCATCCATAGCACTCTTTGACAGCACATAAAAAATACCACTTTCACCAGCTTTTTAAAAGTGAAATTCACGTTTTCATGATACCAAAATGTTGTAAATGTAAATATCAAACTTTAGATGTTAGATATGTAAATGCATAAGAATTGAGTGGTATGTATGTAAATTTCCCACAACAAAAAAATAATGCCCACCAAACCCATGTGGGCATTTCAGCCATGCCTACCAAGGTGAACTTTCATTGGTCAGCATCAGATTGGTGAGGCCCGCATGGGCCCCACGATTTGAATACATGCTAATTAGGTGTGATAGAATAATTTGCATATGAACTGGATTTCTGGAGAAGGAGACATGAAGAAGAAAGGCAGCTTACAGTAATTTGGTAAGCCATCACTGGCAAGAGGTCTAAAAGTGTAAAAACCTATTTTGCACCCACAAAAGATCCCAACTTAGATAAGTCAGGCACCCAAAATGACAGTTCAGATGATCCAGTTGTGAACATAAGGCTTCCAGGTGCCCATTTTATCAGTGGCGGCTCCATGTCAGTACTCGCCCAACAGGCAACCTGGAAAACCATGCAGAAGAAAAATAGTCACACAAATAACTCTTAGAGGCCATTTGGGATCATTTTGATTTTGATATTTTATTTTTTATTTTTATTTTTGTTTTGATTATGTTTTTACTTAAAATAGAACATGATTGGTATGTTATAGTGTGTTTGGTTGTATTTAAGGACTCTCAAAATAATTTTTAGAAATTTTAAATTCTTTTAAAAACAAAAAAATAAAAACATTCAAAAAGAGCACTACACAAATATAATTTTAAAATAAATGCGAAAACAAATAGAAAAGATAACAACAAAGTAATCCGAAACAAGCCCTTAGTAAATGAAGACCATCTCCAAAGTCATCAATATTACGGTTATTCTTCAAGAAAAGATAGCATCCACTTTCATCCATTTTTCAAAAATACATGAAGGGGGCATTTACATGCATACCACCCAAGTCTTATGTATTTACATATCTAACACCTAAATTTTGCTTTTTACAATTGCAACACCCAAAGCTTTCATTTCACATAAAAAATACCACTATTTTAACTTTTAAAAGATGAAGTGCACCTTTGCATACATAGATTTTAATTAGATATGTAAATAGATAAAAAAATGAGTGGTATTCATGTAAATCTTCAAATATATAATAAAAGTAATAAAACATGAGTAAAATTAAAACTTATCCGTAAAAATTCACGGGATAGAATCGAAGTAAAAGAGGAATAATACCTTTCCACTTCTGACACTCCAAGCATAGACACTGCCATCACCAGATCCTGCTAGCAAATAACGCACAAAAAGGTTAAAAAAGATTGGTGAAATTAACAAACATCGCAGTTATACAATATAGAAGGGGAGGAAGAAAGAATAAAATCGAGCACATGTTGCCATGACAATGTGCTGAAATTCTCTTACCTGATAAAATATACATTCCGTCAGCGCTGAAAGAAGCCTCCAAAGTTGCGTGGCTTGAAACCGGCTTTACATTATATGTAGAGAGCTGATAGTAATAAATGAAGAAAATATCAGGAACTTAACATAGCAAAAACATCAGTCCTTAATGATTTTAAACTCCTGTCAGTGAGAAGCTGCATGGTCCAAACAATAATTAATTGTGTTTATGTGCATAGTGCAAATCGGCATTAGAAAACAATTTAATTCCTTCTCTCAGAATATATTCTTCTGATGGTGTTTCCATTTATATATATATATATATATATATATATATAGAAAGTCCAAAAAGGCTAATATATTAACTAGAAAGAAAGATACAAATACAATGTGTTGAAGGGCCCAAACATGATACCCTGTCCACACCAAAAACACAAGTGGTTCCAAAACTAGAAAATACAGAAAAGCACAAATGCTAATGCTGAAATACAAAGTATCAGATGGCTAGAGAGTAACCCAATTTGGTTTTGCCTCTACCTCTGGTTCCAGGGAAGGAGCAAGCTAATAAGTTGGTAAGATGATTGTCATTGCCAGTAGTAATCAATATATCATCCAATATGTTCCCTAGTTGGAGTCGGCCTCCATTCTTCTTCTTCCTCCTGGAATAGACCTGTCATTCATCTTCCGAAGATTGACTCGCCTGATCTTGGTCTAAATTGTGTTGGAGATGTGCAAATTGTTGGACTGACATGTTGTACCGGTTGATCAGCTATTGGGTCAAAGGAGCACTTTCGTGTGTCTTGACATGTAAGTGAGTCTTCTTCAATAACAGTGGGGGGTATAAGGTATAAGCACAAGTGGATTTGTAGCTGTAGTATGTTATTCTTCTTCAGGAACTGCGGTGTTGGGAAGAGGAACGGGTTGCATTTTCTCAATAGGGATAATAGGTGGTTGTTCTTTAGTGATATTCGGCCTTAGATGAGGAAGCAAACGATAACAAATAGTAGAGCTGTGGCCAAACATACTACAATGAGAGCAATAAGGAGGGTGTGGTTCGATTTCAACCTTTTGTCAATACCCGTTGTGAGTGGTTCTAATCCACACCCTATTCGGAGCAGGTTGAGTGATATCCCTCTCAACTAACACACAAGCCACAGAGGGTCTGATGACAGCAAGCGTAGAACTATCAACCTTGAGAGGTTTACCGTAAGCAGTTTCTAAGGAGTAGAGAATTTTCAAATTTAACAGATGTAATTTTAACCCCAAAAATTTTATCCAAACTGGAATGATAGGGGACTCCGCCTTTGGGTCGATACTAAAAGTCCACTTCAAAATTTTCATATTACGGTTGTCAATCTTGATAACTTTCTGAGAAAAGATGTGGGTATAATCAACATCATGAGACAACTGAATCAGTATGTGCCGACCGTCAAGCAAACCAATATTCCAACTGCCCAATAGCTTCATAGCCTCAAACTCTTTCCGAATGATCTCTAATTTTGGTTTACCATAAAGAAATTTCCCCACTATAGCAAAACGCCAAGAGGGCGCGAGAGTACTAGTTTCAACCTCTGTGAGAATAAGAGCAAACTTCTTATTTTTTTCCCCAATTTTTTATGAAGGTGTGATCGCCACCACTTTCAAGAGCATCATAAAAAGATTGAAGAACATTGCAAGATTTACCTATACGAAAACCAGTCTCTGATTCTGAAAGAGGAGCACGAGTAGGAATCGAGAGGTCGTCGGCAAGTACAGTAGCATAGGAACGGATAGCCATCTCCTCCGACAAGATTCTGTCGGACAGGAAGCGAGGAGACGTCGTTTGAAAGGAAATGCGAAAACGCGGGTAGAGCAGTGCTACAAACGTGACCGAGCGAGCAGAGCAGCAGCTCTATCTCTAGACCGAGAAGACGCGAGGACAGAAGGCGTCCTAGACAGGCGAGGACGCCGTCTGGAAAGAAATGTGAAAACTCGGTCTGCCTCGTCGTCTAGAAGGATGCGAAGTCGCGAGCTTGCCGCCAAAAACAAGTGAACGTGAAGCATAGCAAAAACGCGATGACGCGAGCACCGACGTCAACGAAGAAGCGGGGAAAAAGAAACGTAAGAGAGATCCGTGTAGCAGATGGGAGATCCGTGTAGCAGAAAGCTAGGGTTCGCCATGAGGCGAAACCCTAGCAGAGGGGTACGACGCCATGTCGGCTTAAATATCCTCATATAAATATATATATATATATATATA